CCATATAGAGCCTTGAATGGAGTCATTCCAATGCTAGTTTGTAAAGCTGAATTGTACCAAAATTCAGCCCATGATAAAGCTTTAAACCAAGACTTAGGATTGTGGAAAGTGAAGCACCTAAGGAACAGCTCTAACCCTTTGTTAAGAACTTCAGACTGGCCATCCGATTGAGGATGATAAGCAGAAGTCATTGCTAATGTAGTTCCCTGTAGCTTGAATAGATGTTGCCAAAAAGAGCTTGTGAACACCTTATCTCTATCAGAAACGATGGATTTCGGCATGCCATGTAATTTCACCACATTCTGCATGAAGATTTCAGCAACAGATCTACTAGAGTAGTCACTTTTCATTGGTAAGAAATGAGCATACTTTGTCAGTCTATCAATGACTACCAATATAGTAGTATAGCCAAAAGACATCGGTAAACCCGTAATAAAGTCCATGGCTACATCCTCCTAAACTTGTGATGGTATAAGTAATGGCTGTAATAATCCAGCAGGCAAGGTATTGGCTGTTTTAGCTTGTTGACACACCGTGCAATTTTGTACATATTGGGATACATCTTTCTTCATGGCAGGCCAATAGAATTGAGCCTTAATTCTGGCCATAGATCTAGTAACTCCAGCATGACCACCTATTGGAGATGAGTGGAATTCATTTAAGACTTGTTGAACCAACTCTTTATGTTGAGGGATGACAATTCTATTCTTCCAATATAGTAAGCCTTCTTTGAAAGTGTAATGTAAATAAGCATTTCCCTGCTGTATGCATTTATCTATGACCTCTTTCCATTGGCTATCTGCTTTCAACCCTTCTTTAATTGCTTGAATAAATTGACACTGTGGCTCGGACCATGATAGTGCCATTAATCTAGACAAGGCATCTGCTGCAAGATTTTATTTGCCGGGCTTGTACTCTATGGTAAAATCATACCCCAAGAATTTATGTAACCATTGTTGTTGCTCTAGTGTCTGTAGAGACTGATCCATTAAACTCCTCAAGCTCTTTTGATCGGTACGAATGATGAATCTATGTCCGAGCAAATAGTGTCTGAACTTAGCTATTGCTTCAGATATAGCTAACATTTCCCTAAAGTAAGCCGATTTCTTTTGATTTCTAGGGACTATTTTCTTTGAAAAGTAAGCAATAGGGTGACCATATTGATGCAACACTTCACCCACCCCTACACCAGAAGCATCTGTTTCTAAAATAAAGGGCTTTTGAAAATTTGGCAAGGCCAACACAGGAGTAGAAATCATGACAGTTTTCAATTGATTAAAAGTTGTCTCAGCTTGTTCATTCCACACATAACTTTCTTTTTTTAGTAAATCAGTCAAAGGAGCGGCAATCTTAGCATAAGCTTTTATAAATCTCCTATAGTAGCCCGTGAGACCTAAGAACCCTCTTAATTGCTTCACATTTTTAGGTAAGGGCCAATCTTGAACAACTTGTATTTTGTCCTTGTCCATGGAAACACCCTGTCCAGTTACCACATGTCCAAGGTACTCAATCTCTGAGACCCCAAAGGAACACTTAGACAGTTTGACAAACATTGTATTGGCTTGCAGTATGCCTAATACATTATCTAAATGATTCAAATGCTTCTGCCATGTCGGGCTATAGACTAGTATGTCATCAAAAAATACTAACACATATTTCCTCAAAGCATGCTGAAAAATGTGATTCATGAGGCTCTGGAATGTTGCTGGTGCATTGGTTAAACCAAACGGCATGACCAACCATTCATAATGGCCTTGGTGTGTCCTGAAAGCTGTTTTGTGTCTATCTTCTGGTTGTAGCAGTATTTGATGATAACCAGACCTGAGATCCAACTTTGAAAAATACCCAGCTCCAAAGAGCTCATCTAATAGCTCATCAACTGTGGGAATCGAGAATGAATCCTTGATAGTTATAGCATTTAAAGCTCTATAGTCAGTGCAGAACCTCCATGTACCATCTTTCTTTTTCACTAAAATAATTGGTGAAGAAAATGGACTTGTACTTAGTTGTATAATCCCCTGCTGTAGCATTTCCTGTACCATGTGTTCAATTTGAGTCTTCTGGCTGTGTGGATATCTGTATGGTTTAACCTTGACAGGATTAGAGCCTTCCATCAATGGAATATGGTGATTGTGTGCTCTGTTAGGTGGCAATGTAGTTGGTTGTTGAAACAGACTTTTGTAAGTGTGGAGTAATATGGCCATCTCAGGGTCAATATTGGTAGGTAACTCCTTCCAAACATCTTCAGCAGTAATTTTTTTGCCATTGGATTGTAAAACATTCCGCTATAGCATCAGTACTATAGAGTCTCTTGGAATGGTGTAATTGTGCTACTGCAGGTTTGGGAGCTCTTTCACCTTCTAATGTCACAAACTTACTATTGAAAAAAAAAATTCAATGTAAGTGAAGCATAATCAGCTACATGTGGTCCTAAAGTAGCTAGCCAAGCTGCTCCCAATATCACATCTGCCCCGGCTACCGGTAGTAAGAATACAGGAACTTTTAACTCATTTCCTTGTATCTTCAATGGTAAATCCTGAATGACCCCTTCCGCAGTCATCATGTCACCATTGCCTACTAGCACTCTGAATACTGGGCCTGGTTCAATAGGTATCTTCAAAATTTTAGCTATCTGAGGTTGCAAGAAGTTATCTGAACTGCCTCCATCAATTAGCACTTGCACCTTGATGTTTCCAATTAACCCAGAGAATCTAAGCACGCCCAAGTTGGAATCCCCTTTCATGGCATTCAAGGATAAATGGTGTTGAGGTTGATGTTGGTACAAGTTTTCAGTGGATACATCAATTGGTGTCTCATTCCCAACAGTGATATGTTCTTCTTCAGAATCATCATAGTGGAGCAACATTAATTGTCTGTTGGGGAATTTATGAGTGAAAGAGAACTTGTCATCACACCAATAACAAAGGCCCTTGTCTCTTCTAAGTTGCATCTCTGCAGGGGATATGCGTTTGATATTGGGATTCTTTTGGAATTGGCTCATAGGTCTCGTGGGGGGTGTGTTGAGGATGGGGGTTGTGTTTTTTTGGCTATTTTCTGGTTTGGGTGAATTGAAGGGTGGTTTGTAGTATGCGTTTGGGCTGTTTCTTTGTGGTTTGGTTGTTTGAGTGTATTTTTCCTCATATACTTTGGCTAGAGATACTGCTTTTACGATGGAGGTGGGTGTATGGATTAACACATCGCGACGAATCTCAGTATTGAGGCCACTTATGAAGCAATCAATTAGGGCTTCGTTACTTAAACCATAAACTCTATTAGCTAATGCTGTAAACTGAAGATAATATTCAGAAATAGTTCCTGTTTGATTCAATTTAAACAAGGTAGCACGAGGGCATTCATATATGGATGGACCAAAATCCAGTTCTAAAGCACGAGTAAATTCTATCCAAGAATGAAACGGATTAGAACGTTGAACCATTTGAAACCAAGGAACCACATCTTTATCCAGATGCACAGATGCAATAGTTAACCTATCATGATCAGGTGTATCATAATACCCAAAAATCTGCTCAGCACGAAAGATCCATTCATGTACGTTAGTGCCGTCAAAACGAGGAAACTCGAGTTTGATATTTCTCCCCTGAAACGGAGGTCTGCTGTTGAGTTCTGTACCATGGCGTTGCTTCGACGGTGTTTGTTGGATGAGGATGTCAAGCGCTGTGTGAATCTCATCAAACTTTGATGCGTTACCAACTTCTAGTTTTTCCATACGCTCAAGGATTTCAGTCTGAAACAGCCTCATCTCCTCTGTATTGCGCTTGATATCATCTTGCATCTCTTTGTATTGTGGAGCGGCCATGGTTGATGAAAGCACCAATGAAACAGTACTGACAGTATAGTAAAAAAATGAGGAAGAGAAATAACTTTCTAATTGAACTTTTAGCAAATAGTTGGCGTACAAGGACCCAGATGTGAAAAGAGAATTTGAGGGAGAAGAATAACAATCCTACAGATCACATAACAAAAATTATTCCCCTAGTACACTATATGTAGCTGGCATCATGGTTTCACAAATTCCTTCCACATGCTGTGCGGTTTTCTCGCTCTCTCTCTCCTCTGCGTGGTAACCTCCCACCACTAGTGATAGAATCATTCTTTTCTTCCATGTTTTGTGGGTCCTCTAACAAATTTGTTGACTCATCTGCTGTTTCTAGAAGGCTCCTATCGTTTGGTCTCATTACATAAGAGAAATTCTACACCGCTAGAAAAGAACGAGGAAAACTGCATTGAATTTGAGATGCAGGAGGAAGGAAAAAATGAAGGGATACTGAGGCCAGGGATGGTTCCACTGAAGCATTACTTAACACATAATGAGCAGGTACTTGTTGTAATGAAATGCATGATGTATTGGAATACTTATTTATTTCATATGTGCTGGATTCAATTCTTTTACCACATTTTCTTGAATAACTTCAGGTAGAAATAGTGAAAAGTTGTCGCAATCTTGGTCTCCGTCATGGAGGATTCTATCAACCGGGCTATGCAGACGGAGCCAAACTTAGATTGATGATGATGTGCCTTGGTATGGACTGGCAGTGGCGGAGCCAGCGTCCGGCCAGGTAGGGCAGCTGCCCAGGCTCCGCCCAACCATGCTTCACCATCTCGCAATGGAGATCTTCTATGGCCATCTTCCGACACACCATACTGTAAACAGATACACACCACAACACCACTCTTGCCTTTCCGGTTTCCGTTCAATCAATTATCGGTGAGCATCACCTTCCTCCGCCGATTCTTTCTTCTTCTTGCTTCTGTTTCAATTCATATCTCCTACATCATTGTTGTTGTTTTGTTATTTGTTGTTGTTGTTGTTGCAGGTTGTGGTGTTGAATTTGTTGTTTCGTGCTATGTCCACCAAGTGTTCGGTAAAATTTCTAAACGAATATTTTTCTTATTGGGCATCCTAGAATCCAATCCAGAGAGTATATCAACTTTTCTATTGGACTACTCTAATCTAACACTTTTCTATTGTCCATCAGATGTTAAGAGGCTGTTGTGTTACAAGTCTCTAACATTGTTGGATTAGTATTGGACAATAATGTATTAGGCAAAACACTGTCTCTAACACTGTTTTCAACTGACCTGTGATAAAGATTTTCCCTCCTCATCTTATCCCATTTTTTATACATAACAATCAACACAAAAGCAAGAACAACACCAACAATAGCACCTAATAAACCAAAAACAAGTTTCAAAATTTTTCCATTGTTTGATCCTTTTGATGAAAGTGGCATACCAAGTATACAAGCAGCTGCAGCAGGATCTGTAGGACCAAATTGATTCACAATACCAATAGCATACAAAATTGAAAAGTAAAAACACTTGGATGAATTTTTTGGATCAATATTTACAAGCTGAGAAGTCACATTAAAACCAACATCAGTACATACACTACAACTAGTTTCAGCTTTCAAATCACCATTACAAGAAGTATCTAAAGGATTAATCATACCAACTTTTTGTTTCTAGTCTGTGATGTTTGAGATACCAGCACAGCTTGATGTGTTGGTGACAAACTGAGTTGAGTTTGGGAAGCAAGTAGGGACTAACAAAGGTTGAAGTTTCAAGGACGAAAGCTTGAGTTTGAAGTCTTGTAAGCATGATGTGGAAATGTTTTCATTTGGGAATTGAAAGAGTTGAGTTTCTTTGAGGTGTTTTGCAAGTCCTATACCAACAAGACTAAGAAGTGATTGACAACAGTGTTGTGTGTCAATTGGGTCTTTGCAGGTTGATGTGTCCCATGGAAAGGTTTCAACATAGCTGAGATCTATAGGACATGATGCAGCAGATGCAGAATGAGTAGTAGCTATGAAAAAGGTGAACAAGAGGAGAAAAGGAAGGAACATGTGAGCACGAAAGCGATGCCACATGGTTTTCCAGAGGAACTATTGAAAGGTATGGCTTGTTATCATAATTTTTTATTTGTTGATAACTTAGATTGGCATATCTTGGAATCATTGTTGTTAAATAGCAGTTATAGCTATTGTACTATAGTGTAGCGGAATTTGATCACATCCCTATTGTTTTTTGTTATGCTACTTAGTATAATGTGTTCTCAAATAGTGGCTCTACAACATTGTAGCATACCGGAATTTTAACAAACCACCACTTCGCCGATCTGCATTTGACAACATTATTTGAAATTTGAATTGATAGCGGTGTTTTTAGGCAGTACTTAATTTCACACAAATGAGCGTGTTGAACTAATTTTCTCGGCTTTTATAGGTTTGTTCATTTTGTGAGCACACCTGAAATACTGTAACATGTATATATTATAGAATCCGTAATTTTAACATGTATATATTATAAAATCCGAAATCTTACAAATTGAAGAGGTAATTGCAATTCAAGGAAATAATTCCTTTGGGATTAGCATTGTACTGTCTTGGTAGAAAATTATGAAGCCAATGAAAACTTGCCCAGGCTTCATAATTTTCCTGGCTCCGCCACTGTGGACTGGGATCCTCAAACAAGAAAATATGGATACAAGAGGGTAATTGATGGTAGCCAGCCACCAAGTATTCCTCCTTACTTTAGTAAGTTGGTTTTAAGAGCTATACAAGAAGCACATCAACTATATAATCGGGAATTCGGAATAAGCTATGTAGAGGATATACTACCTTCAATGACTCCTGATATATGCATTGTCAATTTTTATTCAACTACTGGAAGGCTTGGTCTTCATCAGGTTAGCTACACTACTTTGTTGCTAGCCATTTACATTTTTTGTTTCCATTTTAAAACTACTTGATGCCGGATCGTGATGAAAGCAAAGAAAGTCTTCAAAAAGGGTTGCCAATTGTGTTCTTCTCTAATGGTGATTCAGCAGAATTTCTTTATGCAAATCAAAGGAATGTTGAGAAGGCAGAGAGTGTATCATCTATCATATCAAATTCAGCACCAGAGGTGAAATTCTGGCAGCAAATACTCAATGTCACAGTGAATGTTATGACACCGTATCTGACTTTCTATAAGACAGTAAATCAAAAAGCAGTAAAGAACACAGTCAATTGTTTACCCAGTTCAGTGTGAAACAACACCTACTCTGGGGGCTACCAAGCCAGGGAGGAAATTCACTATAAGAGATATTAATTCAGGAATAAACCAACCAGTTTATCTCCTTCACTTAAGACCTACCCAATGCAACTTCAATCTAAGTTCAACTTAAACCTGAGTTCCTACTCACTCCCCCTCAATCACAGCAGTGATACTAAACAATTGACTAATGAAATAATGAAGACACTCTTCAGAACATACACTTGACTATGTTTCACAGCTTTTAATCAAGTAACACAAACACTCGTGCTTCAAAGCTTTGAGTGATACATAAACCTAACTTGACCTTGCTTCAAAGCTTTAATCAAGTGACACAAACACTCGTGCTTCAAAGCTTTGAGTGATACACAACCCTTACAATCAAAACCTACTCCAAGTCACTTATCACAATGATACTTGCTTGGATTACAGTAGTTAAAACTATACAGCCCCTTGTTGATCTTCTGTCAAAAAGTTAACTTCACCAACAGCCTTCCTGTTGAATATATATGCAGTTGTTCTTCAGTTAGGGCTTCCACGAAAATAGCTATGGTTAATTAGGGTTAACCTCAAGACTTGGTCACAAGACTTTATCAACCAGATTAGGGTTAAGCCAAGTTAACCTAAACTCCACGTGAGATTCTGTTCTGGAATGTATGAACCATATTCCTGAAAAATCTCAGAATTAACAAAACTGCCTAACTGTTAGATCAGTACAGGATGTCTTAACATTGGTTATGACAACAAGAATCCTGTTTACTGATTTTTGGTAGAATGCAATAAATGTGATCATTGCAAAATGCTCAGATACACACTCATAATGAGCAGCTACTGTATGCCATTATTTTTCTGCATAAAGTACCTAATAACCCAGAATGTTATGACATCAGTCATGACATTCACACACCTGGTTTTACCAAAAATACATGCCAATAACTAAACACTTACAAACTCCCCCTTTGGAAATTTTTTGGCTAAAACCCCTAAACAATCAGAGAATAGAGAGCAGCAGAAATAATATGTCTGCAGAAAAATTAATGTCTACCAAGTATAATTAACACATAATCTTCTCCCCCTCTTTAGCCATAAATAGGCCAAAGATACATGTACTTTTAGGTTATACAGTCATCCAAAATGAATAATAAAAACAACAAAAAGTCTGAAATCACTTGCAGCAACAGGTACCAGCAACAAGCTTGACACTCCACTGATCTTCAAGCACTGTCATCTTCAGAGGAGGCACTATCTTCAGCATTAAGCTGATCTTCAGCAGCATCCTCTTCCCTTCTTTATCCTTCAGTCTCCTCCTGTTCTAGTCTAGCAATTAGGTTCTCAAGAGTCCTTTTCCTTATCTCCAGCTCTTTGCAGGTTTCCTTCAGCACAACTATAACATCAGATTTCTTAGACTGAGTTTTGACAGTTGATGTCTCAGCTGATGTCATAACAATGTCAGGAACATGAGTTCCCTGAAATAGCTTATAGTACAACCCAAGAGCAGGGGCTCTTTTGCATACAGTATCTCTTTCCACTAGAATGTCAGGATACTGAGCAAGGACAATACCACATAGGAGGGAGGGAAAGGCAATAGGGCCTTTAACAGCATAGCTTCCAGCATGTTTTAAAGTTTGATCAAAGATATACCTGCCATAGTCAAATTTTGTCCTGGTTCCAACAGCATAAATGAATCTTCCCAATCCTGTGGAGATGGTTGATTTATGGTTGGTGGGAACCCAGTTGGCTGCACCAATCTTGTGCAGGATGGCAAATTTCATGCTTAGCTTGCTTGCATTTAGCTTGCCTTTTAAGGGCCAGCTCTTGACTTGATTTGCAGTGATGGTTTGGCATACTTGGTTGTCAGTAACCTCTAGTTCAGGGCAAGCCTCATCTGGTCTTCCTAGGAATTTGTTTATTTCAGAGGGAGAGAAATTTACTTTTCTTCCTCTCACATAGACACACTTAAAGTCAGCTGACCTTCCATCAGCACATCCATCAGATAAATTCACTATGAATTCTTTGACAAGATTTTCATAGCAGTTGGTAAACTTTACCACAGTATTCATTAGACCAGCAGTTTGGATTAGGTCCATAATCTCCTTACATTCCATGGCACCATTGTTCAGTTCTCTTTCCAAGGCTATTCTTTTCAAGCAAACATACTTCCATCTGTTAGCATTTTCAGGGTGGTGAAAAGAAATGTTGTCAGTGGGAACTTTAGCCATTTTACTTGATGGGAGTTTCCTTCTGAGAGGAATGTCTTCAGCATCAACTTCAAATTCTGATTCCTCATCAGACTCAGAAGGTTCAGGATCTTTCCTTTTCTTTGCTATTGGTTGTCTCACAGGCTTTGAGAGACTACCAGCAGGTACTCGGGTTTTCACCTTCCCTTTGGATAATCCAGTCTTCACAGTTTCTACACCAGTCTTGCCTTCAGACCTGGTTTTCTTATGAGCAACATCAGCAGTCTTCTCTTTGGTCATACATTTTGCAGCATCCTGCTTACCTTTTCTGTTCATCATCCTTCTAGCTATGCTAGGGTTGATATTTGCAATTAGGTCATTGTCAGAGTATTCTTCATCCACATCAATAACCGGGGGTTCAACATCCTTCTCTGAAGGGTTCTGGAGATCATCAAGATTTTCAGATGTTTTCCGAATGTTGTCATCCGGTGTCTCAACATTCTTAGAGACATCTGGATTCATTTCAACATTTGGACTAGCAGATTCTTGATTTAAAGGAACAGAAATGCCAGGTACCGAGTGGTTCTCATTCAGAATTCTTGTAACAAGTCTAGCTATTGCTTGATGAACATAAGCTGAGCCTTCCCTATTTGCTATTTCTGAGGGAACAGAAGATGATGGTTGAGAGGGATTACCAGATGAAGTAGCTTGAGACCTTCCTGCATGCCTTGTTCTCAGATTTTTAACCTTAGAGGGGTTAGCTGCCAGTTCTCTAAGAGGAGTAATCTCCAGGACTTCAGAATCCATGCATGTTGTGATTGCCCTAGGTTCTCGATCAGAGGATGCGGATGAAACAGTCGTCTTGGAAGAGGATGATGTCATGGATAGTTGAGACATTTTGAGAGTCTTAGAAAACCAGTAACAATGAGAGAGAAATCTTTGATTGAGAGAATGGGGATTATTGCAGAGCTGAGAGAGGAAGGAGGTAAATGAGTGTCTATTCAACTTCTTAACAATTTTGAAAGAAATAGGAAAACATATGATTAACCCAATCAAAATAGACTTAACACAAAAATCTCCTTCATCCCTTGTTTTAAGCAAAATTAATTGCTACATTTCCTCATGTTGGAAAATACCCAACTTGCCCCTCAAATTTTCAAATTGATTTGCATCAAGTGCTTTGGTAAAAATGTCATCCAGCTGTAGTTCAGTGGCAACATGTTCCAGTTTAATCGTCT